TTTGATTTTGATAATATTCAATTCCTTTTTTACTTCTAATTGCTTCCAATCGACCCTTAGCACTCTCGAACCTTCATCGTGAGCCCCGACATAATTTTTGAGTATTTGTACTTTAGTCCCTGAACTTTCACTTTCTTCTATTTTGGTCATTTTTCACTTGTTTCTCCTTAATTCCGCTACATTCATCACTTGTTCTGCAAAACATGAATTGCATAGAATTAAGCTATATTTCAACATATTAATCAATAATTGCTCATGTTTTGATAGTAAAATAATTATGTGAAAACGTACTTATCATAAAGCCAACTGTGCGACCGCATATTGTTTACACTATGCAACCGCGTAGTTGAGCTTAAATTCCAACTAATGCATTATAGTCCCTGAACTTCGTTCTCTTATTGTTTGACCTCTTTTCGTGTTTCTTCTTCTCTCAACACTTCATTCCTTCACTCGATTGGTTCTTGACTCTTTCACATCCTTATTCTTCTTTCAAGTCATCTTTTGACTATTTGCACTTTGGTCTCTGAACTTTGGACTCCTTCTATTTTAGTTATTTTTTTGCTTCTTTTTCCTAAATTCCACAATGTTCATCAATGTTATCCTACAAAATACAATTTATATAGAATTAAGCCACATTTTGATATAATTACCAACAATTATCCATGTTTGATGGCTTAAATAAGTGTGTAAAATGCACTTATCAAATCCCTACTACCACCACCATTACCACCATCTCATCTTCCATCAAATTACCATTCAATTTCAAAACTATCACCACCTCACTACCACAACCACCAACAAACCAAAATTTTCAACTATAAAACCACCACTACCACGACAGTTCCACCATCACCTCCACCAACAAAAATCACTGCCACTACCAGATCCACCACCACCAGATCCAACAGAACCCACCACTACTGCTAGATCCACCAACTCCGCGATAAACAAAAAACCGTCACCAAACCACAAGGTAGCAGTGCACAAACCTACCATCATTGCACTTTACAATCGTCGTTGTCACAACAGCAATTGTGAACCATCGACCACCACAAATCGTTAGAGAAACACTACAAATCGGAGAAAATTTCAGATCGCCGCTGTGTGCGGTATTTGTGACCGACTCAACTAGAAAGTACAATATCCTAGTACAGATCACAGTATAGGTGCTGACAACTTTTGTGCCTCCGCACATAGAGACTTCGATGCCTCCTTGCACTGGAACGTACAATATCCTGGTATAGATCGTCTCAAGGCGCGGAGCGATGCTGCGCAACTGTTGCACCTTCGTACGTAGAGGCTTTGATGCCACACGTTAACACACTATGTACCATGTTGCTTTGTGTGATGCTGCTTGTTGTGAGAGGGTAGAGAGAGATGGGAGGTGAAGATAGAATGGAGGGGGCGACGTTGAAAGAGAATGTATTAGAAAATAATTAGGGTTTGGAATGGTAGATGGTAGTGGAGTGGATATGTAAAATAATTTAATTTTTGTAATATTATTATTAATGTTTATAATAATATATTTTTGCATATAAATAATTTAAATTTGAATTTTGAAGTAGAATCTTAAAAATTCTGGTTGGTACTTGCTCAAACCTTGCTCTCTGTTTGATCTCTCCCTCTCCCCCGAATTTTGTAGACAAACTACCATCTATATTTGCCAATCACCACTGTAAACCGAAATCCGTTCACCTCTTCCAGCCACAACCCTCCATCCGAGCATTTGAGGTGAGTCGATTTTTATTTTTCACTGCTTCCATTTTTTATTTTTTTTCCTTGCTGAGTAATGATGAGTAGATGATGAATCTTTACTATTTTTAATGCCTCCATATTTCGTTTTGATGATTTTTTTTTTTTAATGAACTTAATCTTAAGCTAAAATATATAAACTTCATTACCTTGGACTAGCGGATCCAATTGTAAATATTGATCTTCATAATTATGTTTACTTTTAAGTTTATAATCACCAAGAGAAACTTATATTCTAGAAAAGAAAACTAAATAAACGAAAAACTTTGCTCAACCCAATAGAACTTGGGTATAAATTTTCATTTGTCTCCTCTGCATTGTCATGTAATGTGTTTTGATGTTTACATTACAAGTTGGAACTCATGATCATGATGAAAAACGTTGCCCACCAAGTTAAAAAAGAAATGTTTTGAATTTCCAATAAAGCTTTATGCGTAGTCTTTCCTCTACGGAAGTAGATAATAAAACGAAAAATGTTGTTCATACTTTGGTGTACAATTCCATTCAAATGTGATGACTCTCTTGCCATTTGAGATGACATAGTTTGGACTCTGATCGTTCTTGGACTCGTTTGCTTTTGGCTTTTGCATGCTGACGAGGTTTATTTGTTGGACAAGTTCGTAGATGTACAAAATGAAGGTTATAGTAAAGTCTATAAAAAATGGAAAGGTTAGAGACTTGGAAAGGTTAGAGACCGCAGCTGAAATTTTCCTTAAAATTAAATGTAAGATGTGCATCTTCTGGTTTTATTTATAGTTAACCTGCCATTCTTGAATCTTAATTATTCAAGTGCTTCGTAAACAAGAAACACCCGAATTTAACTTATTAAATAGAGACGGATGAATGTATTTAAAGCACGGATGAACTAAACGTGATTTATTTTACATTTTTCTGGGCTATCCAAGATTTTGCAGAACAGAATGAATGATTCTGACACCCTTCTGTGTCAACAAATTGAGTTTTGTTTGAATGAAAACAGTTACAAAAATGTGAACTTGGGGCTTATGTTCTGTTTCTGAGTGTGATAATGAGTATATGCTGGAATTTCATTAAAAGGAGCAAGATATTAAAACCCTAACCTACTTGTATTTCTACAATATTGTATGTTGCATTGTGCTTAAATTTCAAATTTTAGAGAAAACATAAAAGAGGAGGAACATAAGAAATTTCACATGACTCGACCCATGCGTGGAGACAAGAAAAAACTTCACTAAAAATAATGGGAGAATTCAAAAAGTAATACTTAGTCTAAACCACCATATATTGCATCTTCTATTAATAAAGAGGACAAAGCAAAATACAAAAATAGAAGGAGGCTCGGGGTGTGGGGTGTGTGTAACGGTTTCAAATCTCTCATCAATCTTATCTGAAATATATATAGCCATAATACCATGCATCTGCAAGATATACCAGTGATATCAGTAAATTTTATGAATCGAAGGGACGTAAAATTACTACACTGTCAACTATATATAGCAAGATGGAATTCGCAGGGTACACACAATCTTGACAATAATTCGAGTCGGTTGAATTCACAATCTCTCCTAATAATGTTGCTCATCTAGTTAAATCGAAGGTCCTGAAGCAATTGTCTTCCATTATAGAACGAATTTTATTCTAAAGAACTTAGCACCACTGACAAATCGAAATTCTGACTTGTAAGCCGAACTTCGACACAGAATTTTTACACAAAATAGAAGAATTTCTTTGTTTGAAAAAAAATAGGAGTATAGAGAGATTTTTTATTGGATAGACAATGCTTGATGGGATGCTTGTATATAACCTTAATTTCAAGTTTCATTAAAATTAATAGAGGCACAAATAAAAGGAGCATGTACCCTAAGAAGACACAAAATCAACCAATATTATTTAATTATCTTAATAATTATTACAACTTAAAAGTAATTTTCTCAACTAAAAACCTAAGGTAGGCACACATTTTGGAACACCTTAATTTTGCATTACACATAGTTAATTTATACTCTAACATAAGCATACATATGAGTAACAACATACACCTTCATATTTGTCTCATAGGCGAACACATTGGCAATGCCATTGAATTTAGTTCGTCATTCCAATAATTCTTATTCTCTCCAAAACTTCCCTCATAGCTTCCAACAACGTTGTCAGTGACACCGTCCATGCTAGGCAGAAGATCTGTAAAGCTCTCGAAACTCGGAACACTTAAAGAATCTGTAATATAACTGGAATTATCAATAGGATCCATTATTATTCCATTGGTCATATGAATAGAATTCTCGACATAATTGATTGGTATCATGGATGAATTGTCAA